CCACCCCACCCCCACTCCAGCAACCCTCAGTTTGTTTCCTGAGATTAAGAATTCCTCATATCAGTGAGGTCATATGATACATGTCCTTCCCTGATTGACTTATTTCAGTCAGCATAACACCCTCCAGTTCCATCCACGTCGTTGCAAATGGCAAGATCTCATTCCTTTTGATGGCTGCATAATATTCCATTGTGTATATACACCACCTCTTCTTTATCTATTCATCTGTCGATGTAAATCTTGGCTCTTTCCACAGTTTGGCTGTTGTGGACATTGCTGTTATAAACATCGGGGTGCACGTACCCCTTCGGATCCCTACATTTGTATCCTTGGGGTAAATACCCAGCAGTGCAATTGCTGGATCGTATGGTAGCTCTATTTTCAACTTTTTGAGGAACCTCCATACTGTTTTCCAGAGCCCTCACCTTAAATTTAATTCCTGTAGAAGACTTCCCTGTTGGTCTCCCTTTTATAGCTCCTTGTTGACACTTTGTGCTTTGTTTTGTTATGTATTAGTATAGTTAGTGGTTACGAGCTTGGGTTCTAAAGCCAGATAGGCTAGGTTTGAATACTAACTAGTACTGACTACTGTTTACTAACTGCATATACTCGGGCTTATGACTTAACCATCCTCTGCCTCAGTCTTCCATCTGAAAATAATAACAGTGCCTACATCATAGGATTGTTGTCATTTTTTTTTTAAGATTTATTTACTTATTTTTGAGAGAGGGAGAGAGAGCAGTGGGGAGGGACAGAGGGAGAGAGAAACTCCACGCTGAGCACAGAGCCCTTCGCAGGGAGGGCTCAATCCCAGGACCCTGAGATCTCGACCTGAGCTGAATCCAAGAGTCAGACACTCAACCAGCTGAGCCACCCAGGTGCCCCGGGTTGATGTAATGATTAGATGAGCTGTATCACAGGAACATTGGTGCTTAGCAAATGTAAGCTCATCAGACTATTCTTAGAAATCCTCTCTGTTCAATGAGGCAAGGACTGTGCCTTCTTAGTTTACTGAAGACAAACCTGGATTCTAATTCTGACTCTGGGAAAAAATAATGGGATTTGTATTCAGAAAACTTAAGTTCTGATCTTTGTTCAACTGTGAACCATTTTGTTTTTGTTTTGTTAAGTTGGACAGGCATTAAACAGCATGGGTCTAACCTTCCTCACCCATTAGGAGTGATCTGTGAGCTCTCTTCCAATTCCTGGGTCTCTGATTCGACTACTAGTTCCTTTTCAAGCACTTAATGGTTCAGGGAGGCTTACTCAGGCCACATACTTGAAAAGAGCATAATAGCATGGCTCACTCTGGATCTAAAAATCACCAAAAGTAGTTAGCACTCACTCAGCCTTAAAGTTAGTTGCCCAGCTTCTGAGCTTTTTGTCATGACCTTTCATGACAGCCTTCTGCTACTGCCCTATGGTATTTGCAGTTTCTAATATCACAGACAGCTGCTAAGAGGGGCTTTTCTTTTTGAAGAAAGGGCTTATATAGGAAATAGAAAATGCAGAGTAGAGCCTAATAACTTTGTTCAGTACTGACCTAAATACTAAAGACCACTTTCTCCAACTCCTTCAAAGCCTTTTCATGGTTGCCAGGTCCACTGGGAAACAAAACAGATTGTGAGTCAAAAAAATACAGACTTTTATCTACACCAAGGTGGAAAATATTGAATCAGTTGCTCAGTAATTGACCATATTAGCCTTATGGGAAGGGTATACTTTACTCACCTAATCTTGGGAGAAAGACGTGTCATATATATGTCAATATATATTGATAATTTTTATTAGTGCACTTAAAATTTTATTTTCTATTATCCTTTATGCTTTTTTGCATTCTCACATGAACTTTTTAATCTTTTCTCTTTAAGCTTTTAATAATGTAATTAGCTAATGTTTAACACTTTATGTGTTTTACCCCATTTAATCCTCTCAGCAACCCAAACTTTATAAATGAGACTGAGGCTAAGAGAGGGTATTAGCACAGAGTTTTGTAGCTAATAAGTTTATCTGACTCCAAAATGAGTATTCTTAACTACTGCATCCTGTATTATTTCTGATCTTAGGCTTTTATAATTTTGTGACAGTTTACCTTTCTTGTTTATTTTTAGGTTACCAGTTGATGGGGGGGGTAGAGACTGGGGACCTTCTTTCTAATATGTAAATTTTCAGTGTTGTTGTTTTTTGTTTTCTTTTTTAAAGGGGCACCTTTGTCTGTAAATCACAGCAGAACCCAAATTACTAGATCTTTCTTAAATGACATTCAAGTGTTTTTTTTTTAATTTGTAAATTACCTGACACCTTAAAAGGAATACTGATCATTCTTAATTTTTTTATGTAAGAAATAGGCTGATGATTCAGACAAACCAGTATAAAGCCTCTTTGAGACAACCAGTAAAAATTGAAGACAAGTTGGATATTTAAAGAGATTTTAAGGAATTATTGATGTAGTTAGGTGTGATAATGACGTATGGTTATGTTTGAACAGTTTCATAATCAAAGTTTACAGTTTAGAATTTTTTAAACAGTTGGAAATCATTACGAACTTGTTTAAAGAAGTGGAGAGTCGCTAGGAAAGGTAGAGGAAAAAGTTTTGCTTTATCCAGCCCATAAAAAACACACTAAAGCCATCTCTTTGTTGGCTGCTTACTGCTTTTGCCACTGTAGAGGAGCCAGGTCCATATTAAAAAAAAACAAATAACAGCTTTATTGTTTTATCTTGATTCAGTATATTGGCATTTATGAAACCTGAATGTGAAAATTCACATTAAAGTTTTCTCTGATGTATACGATGGAATTTATATCTTGTTCCCAATAATAAATGTGTTGTTAAACTATATATAATCATAGCAGAGATGATCACCAAAAACTGTAGTGTATATTCTAATTTCATACTGCTATAAAAATTATCACCAAATTAGTTTTTTAAATCTCTTTAGCTATTCAGTTGGTCTTTGGTCCTAACTCTTCTATGCCTTGAATCCTAGGCTTTTGACCTCTATGAACAAAGATATGCTGCTGTGAAGATCCACCAGCTTAATAAAAGCTGGAGGGATGAGAAGAAGGAAAACTACCACAAGTAAATAGTAATACTTTCTGGTTTTTATCAAGTGAAAATACATTTAATAGTCATGGAGAATAAATATACTCTCTCTTCCTGTAGACATGCCTGCAGAGAGTATAGAATACACAAAGAACTGGATCACCCTAGGATAGTTAAACTCTATGATTATTTCTCCTTGGATACAGATACGTAAGTGAATATAAGGATTTATATTTAAGAAAAAATATGTTTGCTTTTGCTTTCCTTATTCTGTAATGATGATATACTCTTCATTTCATCACTGTGATAGGGATTATTGGATAATGTTTTAGGTCTAATTTTTTCTCTTCTTCATTGTAGGTTTTGTACAGTATTAGAGTACTGTGAAGGCAATGACTTGGATTTCTATCTGAAGCAACATAAATTAATGTCAGAGAAGGAAGCTAGGTCTATTGTAATGCAAATTGTAAATGCACTAAGATATCTCAATGAAATCAAACCCCCTATTATACATTACGATCTTAAGCCAGGTAATTAATAAAATTTGTCTAAATTTTTTTAAGCTCTAAAGACTGTAGTTTTTAAAAGTCATATTAAGTTATCTGAAAACCTGCTTTTTGGTGTAGTTTATTAAAGTCAATGGAATACTAGAAGAATGTAAAATGCCCATTGAATCACCACATTTTAAAATTATATTTTAAATTTACATTTTTTAAATATATATCTATTCCCCCAGTGTCAGCTAAAGTAGTAAATATAATGCTTTTCATCCATGTATCATTAAAAAAAAAAAAACTTTATATTTTGTTCTTAGGAAACATCCTTCTGGTAGATGGCACAGCATGTGGAGAAATCAAAATCACTGATTTTGGTCTGTCCAAGATCATGGATGATGATAGCTATGGTGTAGATGGAATGGATCTAACTTCTCAGGGGGCAGGCACTTACTGGTAAATGTATAATTTAAAATATTGAAATTGTCTAGATGACTTTTTATGAGTTTAGTTTTTATTTTCATGTATCTTTGAGATTACGGTGGTGAGGGTACTAATATGAAGTTTGAGTCAAGAGGGAGATTACTGTTGTCAGTCTTCTTTTCTCGTCAGATCTTAACTGTAAACGTCAGCAAAGTGAAGGGAGAAGAACTTGGCATTGGCAAGTGACTTGAGTGTCTATTAGCCAGGAACTCCTTACATGGAGAATCATGGATTTTCTTCTGTATGTTCAAGTGATGTTTATCATCAGTAAAAATACTTGTATGAAGATAACATCCTGACTATTACAAGCAGTAGCCATAAGCATGACGTCCTCTCTGTAGAGGTTCTGTGGTGGCAGTTTATATTGGAGGTGGAGGTTTTGTTGATCATGCATGGGAAAGAAGTTTGGAATATTCCTAGTCTTTGGACTTGGCTCTCAGAAATCCCTTTTCATAACTTCATACATATAGACTCTAGATAGAACTGTAGATTCACAGGTCTAAGTCTGAATGAATGTCATTCCCTTCAGAGTACCTAGGTGTTGACAAAAATCACTTCAGTGTGAATTTTCAAACTTACTGTCAAATTCACTTGAAGGAAAGAATATAGACTATAAAATTTCAAAACAAACTTAGTTTAGCAAAAGGAGTAAGATTGTAATTGGTGAGATAACTGTACTCAACTGTATTGAACAAGATGGAGACTACAAACATAAATGTGACATTAGGGTTTCTGGAACAGTCTTCACACAGTCTAGGCACATAATAACCAGTTCCACAAGATGCCCTTGGTCTGTATGAACTTAACTTTTTTTTTTTTTAAAGATTTTATTTATTTATTTGAGAGAGAGAGAATGAGAGACAGAGAGCATGAGAGGGAGGAGAGTCAGTGGGAGAAGCAGACTCCCTGCCGAGCAGGGAGCCCGACGCGGGACTCGATCCCGGGACTCCAGGATCATGACCTGAGCCGAAGGCAGTCGCTTAACCAACTGAGCCACCCAGGCGCCCTGAACTTAACTTTTCATGAACAGGGATTAGTCATGTTCATGTGTTCTTTTAAAGACATTTTACTTTCAAATTCTGCTTGTAGCATTTTCTAGGAATATGAGTAAGATAATCATGGATTTTTCAGCCTATATTTAAAGAAAATTGTCATTCAAACTAGTAACCCCCTAAAAGTTGGTATCTTCAATCAGTAGTCTTCTGACTTTTAGAAACAAGTCTCCTTCACAGAGCTCTGGATTCCATGGAAGATAGCTTAAAATAATAGATTTAGACAGTTCTAAATAATAGATCGTCCTTCCTCTGTAGAGACTCCCACTATATTGTTTCCCTCGCACTCAGGTTTTGCTTGTGGAGGGCTGGGCAAGGAGATTTACCTCTGACAGGTGGGCTAGAGCATTTCCATGTAGTAACCTGGAATGTATTTCCCACAGAAACATGTTTTGGAAAAATGGTTAGTTTCCTATAGTCATAGTAGCTTTTTTAGCTTTATATTTGGTAAACTGGGATGTCCTATACGGTCTTTCGGGAATACATGTAAACTGTTTGTCAGTATCACTTAGAAGAAAATCAGTTTTGTCCCTCATTCCCTCTCAGGTCTCAAATGCAGTCATTCACTAAATCCTGGTGGTCATTTCTTCCCAAATAGCTTTGGTGTCTTTCCTACAATTCCTCTCCTTGCTTACAGCTTTTTGTCTCAAGAGACAGTGTAGCATAGTGTTCAAGAGCCATTCTTGTTTCATAAATCTACACAAAATATATACTTTTATTCATAAAACAAATCTGGCTTTTTACTTGATTTGGGGGGTAGGAAAGGATTTACATTACAAATGAGTTATTGGTCATCTTTGGTGGTTCTATTTCAAGAAGTTTGTTTTTTTTTTTCTTTTAAGAAATCTGTGCATATCTTGCTGAAATTTAAATGATTTAAGCATAGTATAAAATTAAAGGAAAAGAATTAGATTCCCATTTAGCTGTATTATTCCTTTCCAGGATTTTTTAGTTTATCTAAATTTTAGAGGTGGGAGATGCTTGCATCCCTGCTGGATCTTTTTATTTAAAACCTAAGGTGTGACAAATTTATTTTTACCTATCCTTTATATAAATTATGAACTTACAAATAGCACTTAAAAAGAGAAAATGGTATTTTTGAATACTTTATATATTTCAGATGTTGCTAGGGTTCAAAAACTGCACAGGGAATGGTAAGAGCTCCTTGCACTGCTCATAGTTTAGAGTGATTTTAGTTTAATGCCGTAATAGAGGTACCATAATATCTGCTGGTTACATGGGGAAGAAGCAAAACTCAGCCTAGAGGGAACAGAGGTCCATTCGGTCTTAAGAAAAAAGGTACTCACCAAATGAATTGGAGTGGTTAAGGAAGGCATTAGAGATGAACATATTAAGAAGCATGCGGGGGCAGGGAGGTAGTGTGGGGAGCCAAGTGAATGGTCTTTGCTGAGCCAGTTGCTTCTAGATTAGAATGGGTCTGTGTTACAAACAAGAGCTATGATGGCTTACCTTGGCAGTGCATGATGTTGCAGTTTTCTAAACAGAAGAACCAGCTGGTCAGATATGTGTTTTAGGAAGAGAATTGCTTACAGTTTGAACACAGGTGAAGGGGCATGGGAGATCATTTATAATTGCTTACTTAAATTAGAACATTATAATTTCTACTGAAAATATATTAACTACAGAAATGAAAAATGTTAGTATATATAATACACGTACATAATACGTATGTGTTGCATACTTTATCACGAAGTTGTATGTTTTGGCTCTAGAGTCAGATGATAAAAGGATGTAAATGCTGCAAAAGTTTGATTTTCATTCATGAAAGTCTTAAGGTTTTGTGTATGAGTGTTCTAAAGGTATGTTTAGAAGGCTTAAATTACAGATTGTTAATAGTATCCTTTCCTCTTTTCTCCCCAAAAAACTGTAGGTATTTACCTCCTGAGTGTTTTGTAGTTGGAAAAGAACCACCAAAGATTTCCAACAAGGTTGATGTGTGGTCAGTCGGCGTCATTTTCTTTCAGTGTCTTTATGGTAGAAAGGTAAGTTAAAGTATGCAAGATTCTGCTCTGTGGAGAGAAGTTGAATTTTCCCTCGTAAATGTAGTTTAACTTGAAGTCAGTGTAGAGCCTTCTAAGGAAAGCCAGGCCTTTGTTCCTTGCTAAAATTTTCATGGATCAGATTATTTTAATGTCACAGCAGCTTTCTTGATCTGCTCACATTACTTCCCCCCCCCCTAACCCCCCCCCCCCCCCCCCCCCCCCGCCGCATACTCAGTTTGGCCTGGGCATAGGGTCCCCTTGTGCTTCCTCAGGGAAATTCCATCAAACTTAGTCTTAATTCTTCCCAAACCTCTTTATTTTGAAGTCAGAGCTACAAGCTGCCATAGATACATCAGTGTGGAGAGAGGGGTTAAGGGACTTCTCAAGGGAAGTAACCTCTTGAGGGAAGTAACCTCAAGTTAGGAACAAACCCAGAACTGTCAGTGAAGGATGTACTGTGTTCAAAGTATTTTATCCTTTGGAATTTTCACAGACGTTTCCACTGCTGCTTCTTTAATCATATTTCCATTTTTTAAACAGTCATAATAAATTTTTAGATTTTTTTCATATTTTTATTTTATCTTAAATATGTTGCAGCGGCATTATTTTCTGTGCTATTCACCATGTTTAAGCTATGTTGAGGATTGGTTAGATGGGTTTACTCAGCCTTCTATCAGTTATAACCTTGTTCCCATGACAATGCATCCCAAGTTACCAATAACTAAGAAGATTTTTTAGAACACAGATCATTTATATTTTGGATTCACTGATAATTACTCTGTTTTCTAAACTTTTTTTTTTTTTTTAAGCCATTTGGTCACAATCAATCACAACAAGACATTCTTCAAGAAAATACAATATTAAAAGCCACCGAAGTCCAGTTCCCTGTAAAACCAGTTGTAAGCAGTGAAGCAAAGGTATTACATATATGTAAATAGGTTTTGTGAAGTAAATTTCGTAAATTGTGCTTAAAGTAAGTACAGTTGACTTTTGAACCACATGGGTTTGAACTGTACGGGTCCATTATTGTGAATTTTTTTTTAACAGTACAATACTATAAATGTATTTTCTCAAGATTTTCTTAACATTTTCCTTTCTCTAGTTTATTGAAAGAATACAGCATATAATATGTATAACATACAAAATATGTATTACTCGACTGTTTATGTTATCGGTAAGTCTTCCAGTCAACACTAGGCCATTTGTAGTTAAGTAAGTTTTTAGGCAGCCAAAAGTTGTATTTGGATTTTCAACTGCGCCTCTAACCCCCCACATTGTTCAAGGGTCAGCTGTACTTACTGGTAAGTAAAATACAAGGGATTGCTGCCACAGTAAAATCTGCCCATTAGGCCTTTGGTTTTCATCTTTTAAAGACCCAAACACACATCAGTTTGCTCTGAAAATTAGGGAAAAATCACAAGACCTTTATGTTTTATATATCAGCTTATGTTAATACTGGGATATTTAAGTATACAAGAAGTAGTAATAATAACTACCATTTAGTGATTATGTACCAAGCATTGTGTTGATACTTTATCTTTTAACAACCTTATGAGGTATAGATCAGTATCTTCATTATTCCCATTTTATAAGGAAGCCAGTTAAGCCATAGCAGAATCATATGAGCTAGTAAATAGCAGAGCTGTGGCCCACAGTTTTCACTCTGGTAGACTCCAGAGTTCACGGTTGACCTTATGCTGCCCTACAGTAGCTCTTGAGAAAGCATGACCTCTTCATCCCCTCTGCTTCCATGTAGCAGTCTATGACTCAGTGACGAACGGCTTCCTGTAGTTCTAATCCATCTGTCTAGTAACATGTAATAGCATTTGTAATTAACAGCAAAATGTTTATGGTACTTAATATCTTTCCATTTTCATCCTCTTGGCCTTTCACATTTGTATTTTCACTCCTGCTTTGTTACGCTCATCACAAAGCTCATTTCTCTGTGATCCCTGTTGGAATCTTTTTAAACCCTATGAAATTCCTAAGAAAAACACATGAAGTTCCCATTTTTGTCTGGTATGAATAGTCTAGGCCATAAAGGTAATTTATAAGCAGGCATTACATAGTTTCTGTATTTTTAGAATGTAGATAGGCACTGCAAGATATTGCCACTGATTGAGGTCATAGTGACCTTCAGAATTGAAAATGTACTGGTTTTTGTGAATCGCAAATGGTCTGGTATTTCATTTTGTCTGTTACATCTTAATTGGCTTTAGCAAGTTATTTGGATGACTTTTAGAAGATAATTCATTATGCTTCAGAATAAGAATATCACACTTTTTTGTAAGGTAAATATGGCTGCTTAAAAAGAACTTGACAATGCTACCATCTAAATTTTGTCTTCCTTTTCTATCTGCAGCATCAGTGGTAACAAAAACTAAGTAAATTAACTGACAAATGACCAGGAATGAGTATATAGTGCCAAAAAGAAGTCCCATTTAGGCCTCTCTGGCTCCAGCCTTAAACTCTTCATAGGCACCACAGTCACAGATCTGGGGAGGCAGAGGGGCACATTGTTTTTTGTGGGGTTTTGTATGTGTCTTGTTTTTTTTTTTTCCTTTCAAACCTCGTCCTTACAGAATACACCTTTACCAAGTACCTCCACTGACCTGGTGGTCTGGGCGTCTTAAGTACATTTGCTCCTTGTAGGCTTCCTCATCTCGCTGTCAGCATCTTTTCATCTTCTCAAACTCTGCCTTTAACAAATCAGTCACTCTTTTTTTTTCCCCCTCCATCTTAAATTTCAAAGACCACTCTGAAAATGATTAAGACCTAAGGATTCAGAAAGATTTTTGATAAATATTAGTAAGCTAACCAAGGTATAAGGATAAGAAGAGCTAGGTTTGTTTTTAGAGAAAAAATTACTTAAAATGAATTTCAAACGAAGGTGCAAAATACTTTTTATAATGTGATTAAGCTTTGATTTTAAAGTTGTGTATCTTAATTGTTTTCCTGCAATGCTTTTAATTGATGAATATATGTGGAAGTTAGGAATTTCAAGACAAGCTAAAGTTATTTCTACTGTAAATAAAGGAAATGATCAGTTAGCCCTTATAAAAACTCGATATTATATTATTTATATAGAGAGAGAGAGTGAAAGAAGCCAGGCAAAAGAGAACATAAGCTGTAATTCCACTTAAGTTCAGAGCAACCAAACCTCAACTCCAGTGGATGTTCAGGATAGGGAGGCTCTGACTAGGTCGGGGGCAGAGCCAAAGCCTAGACGACGGGGGCAGGACATGAAAAGATTTAGGAGATTCTCATTCTGGTTGCCAGCTACATAGAGTCGCTTTGTGTGCTGTTAAGTACACTTACGATTTGTGTACCATCTTGTTAGATTTTTTTTTTTAATACAGAGTCTGAAGGACAATATATAAGAACCAGTTTGAGAAGGGAAAAAGATACTGATTATATGCCATTATTTAGTTTTTCTAGTACTTACACACAACATCAACCTAGGAAACAAACCTCAGCAGAAGTATCACTTCAGTGTTCCCTTCATCTTAAGAAATTCATTATGCTAAAAAAGGAAAAAAAATATGGCAAAAAAATGGCATCATACCCTCTAGCCAAAGTACACAGTAAAATGGAATGAGGGTGGGAGGGTTGTTTTAGCAGAAGAAAAATTCTAGAAGTCTGGAATTATATAAGGAGAACTGCAGCTTTCTGTATTCAACATAGTATTTGCAAGTTCTTGCCGGAGCAGTTAGGCAAGAAACAGAAATAAAAGGCATCCAAGTTGGAAAGGTAGAAGTAAAAAGGTCACTATTTGCAAATGACATTATATATAGAAAACCCTAAAGACTGCACCCAAAACTGATAGAACTAGTCAACAAATTGAGTAAAGTTGCAGGATACAAAAATCTGTTGCATTTCTGTACACTAATAAACTATCAGAAATTAAAATATCAGTCCTATTTACAGGTGTTTCAAAAAAAATAAAATACCTAGGAATAAATTGAACCAAGGAGGTGAAAGATGTGTACTCTGAAAACTAAAACATTATGAAAGGTATTGAAGACAATGCAAATAAATGGAAAGATACTCCTTGCTCATGAATTAGAAGAATATTAAAAAGTCTGTACTACGCAAAGCAATCTAAAAATTAAATGTACTCCCTATCAAAATTCCAATGGCATTTTTCACAAAAGTGGGTCACCCAATCCTAAAATCTGTATGAGACCACAAAAGACTGAATAGCAAAAGCAGTCTTGAGAAAGAACAACAAAGCTGGAAGCATCAAACTCCTTGATTTTGAACTGTATTTCAAAGCTGTAGCAATCAAAACAGTATGATATTGGCATAAAAACAGACAAATCAGTAGAACAGAATAGAGAGCCCAGAAACAAACCCATGCCTACATAGATGGTTGATTACAACAAAAGAGCCAAGATTATAGAGTGGAAAAAGTGATGTTGGGAAAACTGGACCGCTGTCTTAAACCATACACGAAAATAAACTAAAAATGGATGAAAGTCTTGAATGTAAGACCTGAAGCCAATAAACTGGAAGAAGATACAGCCATTAAGCTCCTTGACATCAGTCTTGGTGAGGATTTGTGGATCTGACACCAAAAGCAAAAGTAGACAAGTGGGACTACATCAAATGAAAAACTACCTGCCCAGCAAAAGAAACCATCAAAAAAATGGAATCGCAACCTACCAAATGGGAGAAAATATTTGCAAATCATAGCTGATAAGGGGTTAATATTTAAAATATATGAAGAGCTTATACGACTCCATAGCAGAAAAACAGTCAACGGGCACCTGGATGGCTCATTTGGTTAAGTTTCTGGCTCTTGATCTCAGCTCAGGTCCTCATCCTCAGGGTCATTAGTTCAAGCCTCATGTTGGGTTCCACACTGGGCATGGAGCCTACTTTAAAAAAGAAAGAAAGAAAAGAAAAATCTGATTTAAAAATGAGCAGAGTATCTGAATAGACGCTTCTCCAAAGACAATATATGGCCAACAGGTACATGAAAAGGTACTTATCGTCACTAATTAGGGAAATGCAAATCAAAATCATAGTGAGGGGGCACCTGGCTGCCTCAGTTGGTAGAGCACATAACTCTAAATCTCAGGGCTGTGAGTTTAAGCCCTATGTTAGGTGTGGAGCCTACTTTAAAAACCACAGTGAGATATCACCTCATACCTGTTAGAATGACTATTTAAAATAATAAAGATAAGAAATAAGTGTTGGCAAGGATGTGGAGAACAGGGAACCCTTGTGCACTGTTGGTAGGAATGTAAATTGGTATGGCCATTGTGGAAAATAATAAAGAGGTTCCTCAAAAAATCAAAAATTTAACTACGCTATGATCCAGTATTCTGCTTCTGTGTATTTATCCAAGAAAAGGAAAACACTAATTGGAAAACATACCTGTACCACCATGTTCATTGCAGCATTATTTACAGTAGCCAAGTCTATGGCCATACCACCCTGAACACGCCCGATCTCGTCTGATCTTGGAAGCTAAGCAGCGTCGGGCCTGGTTAGTACTTGGATGGGAGGCAATAGCCAAGACATGGCAACAACTAAGTGTCCATCAGTGGGTGAATGGCTCAAGAAAATGTGTATATATACAATGGAATACTGTTCAGCCGTGAGAAAGGATATCTTGCCAGTTGCAACAACATGGATAGACCTTGAGCACATTACGCTAAGTGAGATAAGTCAGAGAAAGATACCATATGATCTCACTTACATGTAGAATCTTATTAAAAAACAAAGCAACCCAAGTTCATGAGTACAGAGAACAGACTAGTGGGAGGCAGAGGGTGGGAGATGAGCGAAATCAACAAAGAGGGTAAAAGGTACAAGCTTCCAGTTACAAATCCCAGGGATGTAATGTACAGTATGGTGACCAGAATTGGTAATACTATATATTTGAAAGTTGCTATGAATAGATCTTAATTTATCAAAAGAAAAAAATTTTTGTAACAGTGGTGATATTAACTAGTCTTATTGTACTCATCACTTTGCAATATACAAATATCAAATTAAGTTGTACACCTAAAACTAACAATGCTATATGTCAGTTATACTTCAATTTTTTTTTATTTTTTTTAAGATTTTATTTATTTGAGAGAGAGAGAGAGAGACAGCATGAGAGGGAAAGGGTCAGAGAAAGAAGCAGGCTCCCCGCCGAGCCGGGAGCCTGATGTGGGACTCGATCCCAGGACTCCGGGATCATGACCTGAGCCGAAGGCAGTTGCTTAACCAACTGAGCCACCCAGGCGCCCTATACTTCAATTTTTTAAAAATAATTACCATGTCATCCAGGAAGTCCAGGGATCAAACAGGTATTTATATGCCATTGCTCACAGCAACATTATTCATAGTAGCCTTAAACAATGCAAATGTCCATTAACAGATAATTGGATAAACAAAATGTGGTATATACATGAAATGGAGTATTATTCAGCCTTAAAAAGAGACTAAATTCTGATGCATGTGACTACATGGATGACTCAAACATTATGCTGAGTGAAATAAGCTATACACAAAAGGACAAATATTGTATGATTCCACTTACAGAATAGTGGTTACCAAGTGCTGGTTGAAGGACGAGTGAGGAGTTGTCTAATGGGTACAGAATTTCAACTTTTGTTTTGGATATTGGATAAGTTTTGGATGATGAAAATGATGTGGAGATGGATAATCTTGATGTTTCACAACAAGGTGAATGTACTTAAAATGTCACTGAATTGTACACTCAAAAAGAAGTAAAATGCTAATTTTTATTCTTGGAATAAAATTTTTAAAAAATGAGATGCACCTTTCCTTAATGCACCTTAAATGGTAGCAGTAATCATTTAGACTATAAAGTGAACAACTAAGGGCTGTGAGTTGAGTTGAATTTGGAGTAAGAACTTTATTGCTATGGAATTTTAAGATTTGAATGCTAATGAGATGAAATATACTTATTATCTTAAATGTGTTCATCCTTCTGTGGGAATCAGCTGACTGATGTTTAGAAGGGGCAAAAATTTTAATTTCTGAACTTTTCCTTTTTAAGGCCTTTATAAGACGCTGTCTGGCCTACCGAAAAGAAGATCGGTTTGATGTGCACCAACTGGCAAATGACCCATACCTTCTCCCGCATATGAGAAGATCAAATTCTTCAGGAAACTTACACATGGCTGGGCTTACAGCATCCCCTACACCCCCTTCTTCAAGCATAATTACTTACTGATTTTCCTCCAAAATTGGCATGATATCTTTGAATTGCTTCCAGATACACACTTGAGTTTGAGAGCATTTGATTGTCTTCTGTTGTTTCCTTTTTCACACAGGACAAGGTTGAAAACTATTTGTGAACTGAAGTTCTTCATAGCATCATTTGTATGAGAGTGGATCATGGACCATGAATAAAATGTACACTTTTGACTATGACCTTGAACAGTGAAGGATGACTGTTGCACAGAAACAGGAATACCATGTTAAGAAAAATTGGGGGAACACTGTAAATAACGTTTATAATACTTAAATACAGTTGGTTGTTTAACTAGAGAGTTCTAATATGAAGGGTAGTTTTTCATTATTTAAAAACACATGGAAAAAATATTTCTAACACAAGAACTATAGTGCCTGGATACATTCTTCAGCATTCAGCAGTTAATCTGCTGAAACCAAAGTAAGAACTGAATGACATTTGTGTTTTATAGAATGTGAGAGAATCTTTGGACTTTGGACAAAGTTAGATTTTGTCACTTGCCTATTCTGGCTCTTACCAAGTTGTACCTCAAAACCGCGTGTCCATTTTTGTTTTTGTTTTTTTTCCCACTAGTCATATTAACAGGAGAGCTGTTATTTCTAGATACTTTACACCTTTGACAAATGAGCTGCTTGTTTTAAAAATCAGTTGAATTCACCAAATATCTCTGGTGTTTTCAACATGTTTGAATTAATTAAGATATTTTCCCTTTGTTACCAGGCCTTGTTCATAAACAAGTGACAGTATGTAACCAAATGCAGATCAGACCGGTTCTATGCAGGATAATGATAAATTCCCTTCTAGCTCTATTGTAAATTGTTGTACAGATGTTGTATTACAGTTACCAAGTTTCAGCAGCTTATTCTTGTACAAATGTTTAAAAATATGGCTTTTCTAATTGGATATTGTATTTTTTTTAAGTCTTCTTGAAGGCGCTTTAATTGCTGCTAAATGATGTTGCTTCTATGCTAAAAAATCTAATGACCTCCTTAAAGGTGCAAGTTGACTGTACATATGTCATAGAGAGATATTAAAGGCTGGCATTCATTAACAATCAAGGCATGTAAAAATGATCCATCTTGGACATATAGGGTTCACTAAATCAGATTCTTGGGTTCTAGGGCTGGGGAGCACATAGATAACTAGATTTATAAATTGTTCATGTTTATCCTACGTTTCTAGAAGGTTCTTATCAGAAAGGTGAGATGATGGTCCCCATAAATAAGTTTCTTGTGGTTTGTACAGATTTGTTAAAATGTGAACATTTTCTAACTGCCTTGTATGGTAGAAACCATTATTTTTCAGGATGTTATATTTTACTCCTGTAAGAATTATTTGTCACATTCATAATGCTGATACTTACATGTAAGTTGTCCATGTTGCCGAAAAAGGAGGTGATAACCACAGATTCTCCTTAATATTGTACAGTTAAACTGTGGCTCTTATTTCTCATGTTGCAAGCCATTTTGTTTCATTGTACATATAGACACATTGTCTCTTTAAGATGCTGCTGAAATTGTAGAGAATGTAGCCAAAACAGTAATAAACAATGACAATTAAAATTTAAGGACTATGAAAATTACATTTCAAGGGAGCTTTGAAGATTTAGGATATTGATTGACTAGGCTCCTTAAGAATCAACTCCATGAATTCTTTAAGTATACTTCAAGACAGGTATCAAGTGCTTCAAGCTGTTAAAGTAAACCTAATAATCATTATCACTGGGTAAGTAACACATAGCACTGTGAGGAGTGGCCTCGGGGCTATACCTGCTCTTTTGTAGATTAAGATAGAAATCCTATTTTTCAAAAATACTGATACGGTAATGAAATGTTAGCATTAATTGAGTGCTTTAGGTGCTGCCTACAAGTTTTTCAGTTTTGTTGTTTGAGTTTTCATCTTTCCAAATCATTAAGTACTGTGTTCATATAGTAATTGTCATTTAAAGTCCTGCATTAAAAGAAAATGCTCGGTTTTTAAAAATTTCAGTGAGATACTCAGTGGACATGTACATCTAATACTAGGTGGAATAAGTGGTGTTGACTAAGTCACTGCATTACCATACTCTTTTCAAATGATTGAAAATGACTGCTAGCGTGGAAATGCAAGAAAACAAGCCACAGCAGGAAACTGCTTCCCTGGTTTCCAAAGATGTATACGAGGTAAATCAACTTAGACACCTACGTTTTCCCCAGAAATGCTATAGATTTTGGGTCGTAGGCCACTAACCCAACAGGTACAAGATGACTAAAGGAGCCAAACTGAATCATTTACTCTTCCCTTCACATGGGAAATGGGGGTCTATCGCTGAATAATTTCAGTCACTGTCTATCTTTGGCTCTAATATCTTCTGAAGCTTACATTGGTTTTGGTCTCCTGAATTCTGTCCTCAGAATTAAAGCATGTCTTCTTTCCCTAAGACATGAGCCAAGGGTCTCCCTTTAGGAATGAGCACTGATGCAAGGTAAAATATACAGTTTTTGCATATAATTTAAACATCTTTCTTTGATGTGAATTAGCTGTAGTGTATGCATGTTGAGAGGAAGTGTAGAAACCACCGTAATTTATAAGTCGGGAGTTGAGTAGATTTTTGGTTTTTGTTTTTCAAAAGTAGAGTCAGGTTTATTTTCTGTCATCCTCTTCTGCTAACAAAACTCTTTCAGTTTAAATGGTACATAAAATGTGAACACATATTCTATAAATACCTTATTACACGAAGCCAAAATGATGGAGAGTTTCAGCGAAACATTTAAAGACTATATTGTTCGTTTTGCTGTTCATTAACTTATTAAATACAATGTTGATTGACATGTGATTAGCTATGTTTTAGTGCTAATTGTAGACAGCAGTCCTTTTAGCTTAAGAAATTAATTACGTGGCTGTTTGAGATGTGAAAAATTTAGCCTTATACCTTGATACCGACAGGTCTTTCTCCAGTCCCACTTTAAATGTTGACATGTTATCTGATCATTAAGTACAACTAAACTTAACAACTGAAGGCTTAATCTAATTCAAAAAGTGCTTTAGCAGATAATTTTTAAGATTCAGCTGGGAAGATGGTGTTACACAAAGATCCTGAATTCATCCCCTCCCATGAGCATTCCAAGTCTACTGCTACCTATGGACCATTTCCCTCTGAAAAAGGTCTGAAAACTAGATGAACTGCTCTCTACAACAAAAGATATAAAGGACTACATTGTGATGGGTAGGAGAGGCACAGACAGTCTCAAAACAAAAAAAACACAAAAACCCAGTGTGGCAACACATTAGGGAGAGAACGCACTAGAGTGGTGCTTCCTCAGGAGGAGCAGAGGCTTGGTGTCCTACATTGGGCACTCCAGACCCTGGGGTCTGCATCTGAGAGAGAAGCCACCAGAACATTTGGCCCGGAAAACCAACAGGGCTGACCTGTAGGAGGTGCCAAAGTGCTACAGGAAACAGTCACTGCTTAGAGGGCTTGCATGTGATTTGGCTCACCCTGAAACCCGGCGAAAAAAGAGTAGCTTCAAAAGCACTTAGCAGTAACCCACAAACAGAAAAGGATATCACAGGTGCAGAGGTCTTCCCTGAGGAACAAGTGGTTCAAGCCCATTGGGCATGCCCTCCCTGTCCTTGGACTCTGCACGAGGAAGATAATCCCCCCATAACATCTGGCTTTGCAAATCAGCTGGATTTAACTGGGAGAGGTGTAGGAAACCAAGTCCCTGCTTTAAAGGGCCAGTGTGCTATAAGAGTCCAAGACCCAGCACAGCAGCAGCATATTGAAAGCGCCTGGGTTAAGAGGGGTTCTGTGGTATAATGGCTAGTAGTCTGGACTCTGAAAAGCCACCTAGGTTATACGTGAAGGAGATTTATTGACTAATTTTAAGGCAAGTGACGGACACAGATCCGTAGGAACTTTGTCCAGAAAGGGCAGTACTGAGGGCACAATTTTTCTTGCCTGATCGTGGCATTCCCCTGTATATCTGACCCACCCAGCCCACCTCTCAGTAGGCGCCCCTCCAAAGTAGCTATCGCCTCACCACAGCTGGTAGTAAGCCTTGGTCAGGACTGGCTCCCTTTTAAAGTACCTCTGGCCCCAGAGATGGAGGCAGCCCTGCCTATCAGCACATCTACAAAAATCACCACAGGGCCTTGCAGCCACCCTCACTGGGAGTTAGCCTCACCCCTCAGCATGCCCACGGAAGTCAGTGTAGTCACACCTGAAGGGTACATGCAGCCCGTCCCACAGGGGAGACCTAAAGCCCCTCATTCTGGTAACCATGGGGGAATTGTGTTTCCGGACCTGACAGGACACCAACATATGGATACCTCCCAAACCAGAACATGGAGCAGACCCATATAGCATATAGAAACAAACACAGCCAGACCAAAGGAGACCAAGAGATACGGTCCAAATGTAAGAACAAGACAAAAATCTCAAAAAATTAAAATGGAGGTAAGCAATCTACCTGATAAAGTAATGGTCATAAAGGCACTCACAGAACTTGGAAGAGTAGATGAACTCAGAACTTCAACAAAGGTGTAAAAAATAAAAGAATGAGCTGAGGAGTACAATAACCAAAATGAAAAACACTAGGGGCAATCAACAATAACAATAACCTGGCAAGGTTATCATTCAGAATTGAGGTGAATTTGAGTTTTCCAGACAAACGACTCAAAAGAGTTTAACACCACTAAATTGGCCTTCAAAGAAACGCTAAATGGAAAGAAAATGCTGTAAGAAGAAAATTATGAAAAAAAATTTCACTAGTAAAAGCAAACTCCTAGTAAAGGTAGTAGATCACTTATAAACCTAGGATAAAGCTTAAAAGATAAAAGTAGTAAAATCAACTATATCTAAAACAGTTAAGAGACAAAGGATGTAAAATGTCAAATTATGGGGGTGGGGGGAGTAAAAAATACACTTTTAAATGTGTCCAATCTTGAACATCCATCAATCTTGAACATCCATCAACTTTAAGTAGACTGCTATATACATAGGGTGCGAAAGAGGAACCCCATGGTCCAAAACCAAAATCTATGATAGATTAAAAAAAAAAAAATCCAAGCATAAGAAAAACTCAGAAGAGGAGAAAGGAACAGAACTACAAAAGCAATTAGCAAAAACGGTAATAAGTAATAACTACCAGTAATTAAATGTAAATGGACTAAATGCTCCAAAAGACATGAGACTGCATGGATTAAATAAAGAAAAAAAACCACCCATTTATATGCTGCCTACAAGAAACCTGCTTCAAATCCTAAAGGGAGAAACCAAAATAAAGGGGTGGAGAAAGATATTTCATGCAAATGAAAGCAAAAAAAAAAAAAAAAAGCCAGGATAGCAAAACTTATATCACATGAAGTAGACTTTAGAGACTAATAACAGGCAAGGGCATTACATGATGATAAAGGAGTCAATCCAACAAGATGACATAAACAAGTATACGTATCTGCACCCAACATTGGAGCACCTAAATATATAGAAGACAAATATTAAAAGACAAAAGGAGAAACTGATAGTAATATGATAATAGTAAGGGACTCTGACACCCCCCCTCACATCAATGGATAGATCATTCAGACAGAAAAATCAATAAGGAAAGAGTAAATGATAAATTAGATCAGATGGACTTTACAGATACTTACAGAACATTCAATTTGAAAACAGCAGACTACATTCTTTTCAAGTGCATATGAAACATTCCCCAGGATAGATCACATGTTAGATCACAAAACAAGTCTCAATAAATATAAGAAGTTGAAATCATATCAAGCATCTTCTCCAACCATAATGGTATGAAAATAGAAATCAATTAAAAGAAAAGCGGGGGGGGGGGAAACCCTCATGGAGGCTAAAAAAATGCTACTAAACAACCAATGGGTCAATGAAGATACCAAGGAGTAAATTTAAAAAAAATTGTGGAGACAAAATACAAATTCCAAAATATTTGGGACACAATAAACGCAGTTCTAGGAGGGAAGTTTATAGTGATACAGACCTACCTCAAGAAACAAGATTCTCAAATGATCTAACCTTATCCCTAAAGGAACAGAAAACAAAACAAGCCTATAGTTGAAGGCAGGAAATAATAAAAACCAGAAAAAGTTTGAGAATCTGCCTCTGCTCCCAGAACGTGCCTGAGATTGACACTCAGATCAATCAGGGTTTCCGTCTCCTGCTTGGCACTGTAGCTTAACCTGCGGTCTCTTCAGAATGCCCAGAGCCTTGTTTCCTATCACCTTAGACTGCAGACCAGTCTAGAAAAGCCTATGGGAGAGTAGCATTTAAATAAAAGGGGGGGGAGTATTTCTTTGTTTCAATGTTGGAAGATTTTTGTTATTCTCCCTTGTTCCTGAATCCTATTCTGATCCTCAACCACATTTATAGCAATATAATTAGTGTTAAAATAAGGTGTTACCCATTAAAAAATTGCCACAGTCTTTATAGTTGAATAAATAACTGTGTAATGTTAAAAAAAAATAAAAATAAAAATGTGGAAATAAGTGAAATGGAGAAGAAAAGGACAATATAAAAGATGAAACTAAGAGTTCTTAAAAAAATAAACAAGACTGATAAATGTT